GAATTCACACCCCTCACACTTCGCGATACCCTTGACTCACCAGTTGAGAGAAGTCCAATGGTAACAGATCCACTCACCCTGTTCTAAGAGGTTTGACTAACCGGAGAGTTTTTCCTCTGAATGGTGAAAGTCTGTCATCATTCCCATCTTTAAAAAGTAATCAAAAGGTATTCACCTAATTCCATTCTAGTGAAAGGTTTTGGCACCATTTAATTCACAAGTTGCCAATGGAATGAGAGAGTCAGACCGGGGTGCATTTCGAACGTACTCCTCCGGGCTGTCGTAGCGCAGTGGAGTGAACAGAATTGCGCGACAAGATGTCTCTCGGCTCATATTATCAAAGCTCGAAACGACACGTGAATTTGTGGGCGAAGGACGACGGCGGGGGAACGACGGTAGGGCGAAGATACAACCGAGACATGGAATCTTTAGGAATCACTGGAAGACAAGTCCTCCGTGGTTTGCCAAATGTCCTGTTCATGCGCACATAACATGGTTAGAAGAAAGCTGGTATAGGCTAAGATTTAGCTAGATGAAATGCAGAGGCTAACAAAACCTTTGTAGCCTGAGGGATTTTGACGTTGGGGCGATACGAGTCCTAAACGTTTTTCGGATGCTTGTCCTCGAGAAGTGTGAACTACCATTTATCCTCGTGAAGTTTTCTGTCAATGAAAACGAACATTGCTTGACGTGCATGGGACTCGGCCATTACTGAATAGTTGTCGAGTTCAGTCCAAACGAAGAGCCCAGAATGGTTGTTGCGCAGTAAAATGCCGTCTAGTGATACGTAGAAATATTACGGAAGAGGGGAGGGGAACCGATCACCATGTGGCTTCTACCTATTTATCGACAACTTGAAATTATTTTCTATCGACCAATAAAGTCACATTTTCACGACAGTTGTTTGGGTCGTATTTTAATATTCTTTTCTTTGGGTTATGTATTTCTGCCCTGACACTTTTTTTGACAGGGATACACTTTGGCAACTATTGTTGAAGTGGATGGGACGGGCTGCTCAGATGAAAAATATAAGTAAATGTTTATTCGATAGGGGTTGGCAAAAGTGTGCATAAAACACAAGAGAATTCTTATTTATAGCATGAACAAAAGGTGAACCGATTTATCTAGCTTATTATTTGCAATTGAATGAGAGCTTATTGATCAGCATTGCACAACAAGCGTCCATATGGGGACACATTGTGCGGTTATCAATTTGCACCGTGATCGACCTTTGTCTGTAAAACGGTTGTTGTGTTCCAATTTCAACCCCCATCCACTCCTTCCCGCTCCCCCCCCCTCGTCATCCTATGCTCACACTCACACTCACACACACACACTCACACACACACACACATCCAGGGGTCGTGATCTATTTCAAGCAGCTTTAAAGAAACCCGAACTGACATTGCAAATCCAACGTAAATCCGCCCGTCTGTCCTCGGATGACATGGAGAAGAAAAAATCCGCCCTACCGTCCTGTCGACTTATAATCGTGCCCGATATGAGCGAGAAAGCCAAAGAGGCCGAAGCTTTGTCTGCTCGTAGCACCAGCAAACCAGCTCCTCCACCCCCACCGAGACGTTCACCGAATACCGTTCTGACTCGTATCCCGGCCGGGATTATTCCCCCGCTTATTGAGGAATTCTTGCAAGAGCATAATCGAGTCACTGCACACTCGAATGAACCACCGCCAACGG